TTAGTTTACCAGTATTGCGCACCTCCGGCACATCAAAGGTGTTTGAGCCCCCAGCACCAGTCTTTCCTGTTTTTTGATCTATTTCTTTCAAGGCGAGGGTTGAAAGGAGGTGCCGCCAGAGGGACTGTGTCGGGACTGCCACGGTTAACGTTTCAGGCAGCTCCTCCTTCTCGACAGACTGGGCCCACGGGTGGGAAGAGAGTAGCAGACCCACCGTATCCTTAGTCTGGATCATACTGGTGGTTCCCATGTGTTTATAAAGGGGTGTGTTATTATAGGTTGTTTTTTTTTCCTGTTTTATTAAAGAGCGCAGCAGTGATCTTCTGCATGGGTATCCCAAGAAGCATGTGCCGTTCAGTGCACTGGAATTTAGTGTGCCTCTGACTGTCATGCTGAGTTATGGGATCTCTTTTTGAAAGGGGTGGGGAAGGGTTTCAGCCAAATTCCCATCGTTGCTGGCACAGACAGCAATGGGGCAACTCAGAGGAGAGCTACGTCTCTCTGCTCTCTGTGCTTTGGTTTTGCAACAAGGAACTTGAACGTGTACCAAGAAAGGCAGGCCAGCAGGCCGGCTTCTCTCTCCCTTCTGTTACGAACGGGACAAATGAAGGTGTCTGGCGATGAAGGTGTAGCAGAGCGGCAGCTTGCCAGAGTCCCACTTTCGTTCTAGAAGAGTTAAAGGAACAGCGATGCCGTGGAGAAGACCTCTTCCTTGACGTTCGGGAAAAGTCTCTCGTTAGCAGGGAAGATTCCTCAAGTCAAAGGGGGAAATGCCGAAGCCCCGCCGAGGACTCAAGATAACTTGCGTTTGACTTGAGGGACATGCCGGAGTGGAAGTGGGCCAGGTCCAGAGCATGCCTTTAGGAGGCGCACGGCGTAAGCGCATTCCAAAGAGGAAACATCCGACAAAATGAAGGGGCTGGCCAAAGGGGAGTTGACCGGACAAGCTGCCAGAGTCAGATCTTTCCAAAGTGCAGGTATTATTCGAACCACAGCCAAAAATATTCCGCTCTCAAGAAACGTTCCAGATCCAGGTGCCGTATTCGTAAGGATTCCCTATCCGGCGTCCCAGGAGGAACTCTTCCAAAGCTTCTGTTCCTCCCCACCCACCCCACCATGTAATGGAGTTTGATCATTAATCCTTTGAGTAATTCTGCCCTTCAGTTTTGGGGGTGGGGGGGGAGAGATCTGGAGGGAAGCTTAAAAGTTAGAAGTCGAAAACATATGTCTGAATGCAAGAGAAAATACTGTAATAACATCAAAGCAAATAGTCATGATGGCAGAAAACTTTGGGGTGGAATAAACGTTGTAAGCCTGCGAGGTAGCTGGATCCTGCCATGGTAAGGAGGAGAGGGGCGGATGGTGTGCTTTTGGACAGCAATGGCCTGAACTACCCGGGGAGCATAGGGGCCTGTTAAGGAGGAGAGGGGCGGATGGTGTGCTTTCGGACAGCAGTGGCCTGAACTATCCGGGGAGCATAGGGGCCTGGAGAATTCTGGGAGCTGTAGTCCAGAAGCAAACATCTGCATCCGTTTCATAGTTGGTTTGCAAAAGGAGAAGCCTCTGCATACCCAGACAAGGTCCTATTGAGCAAACCCCAAATCAACCTCTGTGTTGGTCTTGAAGGGGCGGACGGGACTGAAAGGGACCTGGGCTTCCAGACCTTAAGCCCAGCTGTGCCGGTCAACCAAAGCAGACCCAGTGAATCAGTTGGGTCACGTTCCTGATGTACGTAAATCCCAGAGAGGCAGCAGGTCTGATACTGGTGAGATTTGGGCTGCTCACGGTTCCTCCGTTATCCTTCTTTTCCCACGTCAAGGAGTGTAAAGAACTTTGCCTCTCATCCTTCCCTGTTCAACTCAGCCGCCTTCCCTGACCCGGCACCGTTACGACTGGGGATCATGGGGCTTGTCGTCTGGCACACAGAAGGCACAACACGTTCCTAGTCCTCAAGGAAGTTGAACAAAAGGGCAAAGGGTTGGAGTTTGGTGACCGGAGCCACCTTTCGTTCCTGGCAGAGAGAGAAAGGGGTGTGTGTGTGTCTATGGACATACCAATAAAAAGGAATGAACGTTTCTGCAGAACGATCCCAGGGCCCTGGAGCTGCTTTGGGAAAGTGGCTTTTGGGGACGAACCTTCCAGGAAACCCAGCCGTGGGTGCTCGCGTCCCTATCTGTGTTGGCCGGGTGGGGGATATTGGGGCCTTGTCATCCAGAAAGAGGACTTGCCTTGTTGTGAAAGAGTTTCCCGAAGCGGACTGACTCATCCGTCAACAAAGGGCCTTTTCAGCCATCACCTTCGCTGCCTCCTTTCCCCATTCATGCCAACCACCGCGCAGTGTCATAAGTCTTTCCATCACCTGCGTGGCAGAAATGACGTGTCGCTTCCTGACGTGATCCAAGAGTGAAGTGTCCAGAAATAAAAAAAGGAGAAGTGTCTCGGGGCTAAATAAAAAGAGAAGTCGCCGGGTTGCGTCTGAATCAGTTGGTTCAAGAAACAGCATCTCTGTGCAGAAGTCAAAGGGTTATTTACATCCCAGCAAAATGACCCAGCGGCTGCCTGTTTTTTTTGTTTTGTTTTGTTTTGTTTTTTTGAGTCCTGTTTTAAATGTTCCTTATTCAGTTCAATTTGTTAACTTCATTTAATGCCCTCGATTATGCCACATTTGTTTTCGCAAGAGGCCGCTGCGTTCGTCTGCACAAGCAAAATCCGAAGAAGCAAAAGACAAAAACACATGTTGGCACCTTGCAGACTAACTGTTGTATTTGAAGGCGAGCTTCCACGGATGCGTCCACTTTGTCAGACATAGGGAAAGAGAATGAAACGTTGAAGGAAAGATTCGTTTCATACTAAATGGTCATTGACTCTTGGATGTATGTTACATTTACATGCAGGCATTTATGGCTTCTGTTAAATTAGGGCTCTGTTGTAAAAATTCACCAGGAGACAGAAATCAGACACCAAGCCTGGGGCAGAGAACGGGGGGGGGGTGTTTGAAGATTGGGAATTACTGTAATTTAAAACTAGAGAGAGAGCGAGAGAGAGATTTGGCAGAACGTCTACTCCCACCAAGTTCTACCCGTGTCACTCGATTGAGTAAGGAGGAGCGTAACGCTGAGGGAGGCCCGGAAGGAAGAAACAAGAAACCGGGCCTTCTCGGCAGTGGCTCCTCGCCTCTGGAACAACCTCCAGAGATTTGCGCTGCCCCCTCGCTGGGCATTTTTAAAAGTCAACTAAAAACTTGGATGTTCAGGCAGGCCTTCCCCTCCAGTTAATATTTGCTTTTTGTCTTCTCTTCTCCTTGTAGTTCATTTTCATTTTTCCCATCTTGAAGTTTTTAATATTGATTGTAATACAGGTAATTCCTTTTTTTTTATTGCTGCTGTTATTATTCTATTATTGTATTATGACTTTGTAAGGCGCCTAGAGTGGTCATATTACCAGACAGGCGGGATATAAACAGAATAAATAAATAAATAAGAGAGAATAGTAAATATAAAGATGAAAGAAGATGGTGTTAATGCAGGGAATATAGACAGTTTTTACCTTTGAGCCTTGTGAGGAGAGATGGGCTTGATAGTTGAGGAGAGATGGGCTTGGTAGTTGTAAAGAAAATAACAGGGGCAGTAAGTAATGGCAGAAGTACTACATTTGGTAAGTTCTTAAGAAACCTAGGCTTGTATTCAATCCATTTCTGTGAGTGCCCAGCATGCTTATTAATTTTACTTTTTTTTTTTATTCTTACTGTCTATGAACTGCCCAAAGTGGCCATGGGTCAGATGGGCGGTATAAAAACCAATCAAGCAAACAAATGAACAACAGCAACAACAACAGAGATGGCAGCATTTGGAAAGCGCCTATTGTTTCCAAGCATGCCAGCTTTTTTTATTTTCAAGCAGGCCAGCTTCCGGGCTGCACAGAACTTTCGTCGGGGTCACGACTCTGCTTTTTGCATCTCTCCCTTGCAGTGCGTCAGTGTGGCCAACATCTTTGCCCTGGTAGGGAAGAAGACGCCGAGCGGCGCCGACCTCACCTCCTCGGAGCTGGTGGGGTTCTCGGCTGGCCTGCTCTTCTACCTCACCGACCCCGCCGGGGCTTGCCAGGCGGCCACGGCTGGCCTCTGGGTGGACAAAGCCCGGGCTTTTCAGACCAGATTCTCGACGGGAAACCCAGCATCAGGACCCACCAAGGAGAAGGTGGCGGAGCTGCTCGGGGCCGTCCAGCAGAACGCCAAGGAGAGCGAAAAAGAAGCGGAGGTAACAATCCTGGGGAACATCGCATTGCGTGTCGAGATCAGATGCTTGTTAGGAGCCCAAGGGTTGCACAAAAAGCTTGGAAAAGTTCCTCCTTTTTTTTTCTGGACCATAGCTCTGACTATATGCCAACGGGGATTCTGGCAGCTGAAGTCCAGAAAAGCCTCTCCCCCCCCCCAAGCTGCATGGGTGAGCCTTGCCTCCTGGCAGGCATCTGATCCCTACACACCATGCCGGATCATATTCTCCAAATATATTTGTCTCAGAGGGAAATCCTATGATTTCAATGCCGTGAAACAGACTTTAAGCAGCGGTGTGAGTGAACGAAAGAAGAGGTTGGGAACTTAAAAAAATCTTAATATGGATTTTATTCAAATCCCCACGTTTGTGACGATGGTTGGGCAGAAAATGTGGGTTTTTTTGCTTAATTGTGGGAGTTTCCGACTGTAGTGATCCGCGGATGGGGAAAAAAACCTTTGCGTGTTGAGGCTTTTTTTGGGGGGGGTGACACTGCTGCTAAGGGAGGGAGAAGGTTTTGGCTCTAGGAAATCTTCTTCACTGCCGAATATTCTGACTCCTGGTAGTTAGCAGAAGGAGGAAGGTGACCAGCCTGGGAGAAAGAAAAGGTGTGTCTGGAGAATGATGCGTCTAGAACTCAAACCCCGTGCTAAGTCACTACATGCAAAACTCAGCCGGTCTGTACACGTCCCTGAAACTGAGCAAGGCCGAAACTTCCACCTCGGTCGCTTACTTATATTATTGGAGCATGTTGGTGTCAAAGGGGGTGTGTGTACACATCTTTAAGTGCACCGAGACCTTCTCGGTTCCAGAACTACCCCCCGTAAAGGTTCAAGGTTGCTAATGGCACAGTCCTTTCTCATAACAGATGTAATAATTTGTTTCACTCTGCGGTTAAGCTTCACTGTTTCCCTGTGACAGGTAAGATCTTCTAGGTTTTAAGGGAATATATATAGAGTATGAGTTCCATATATATAAAGGTGGAACACATGCTCTCTATATATTCCCTTAAAACCCAGAAGATCTTACCTGCCACAGGGAAACAGTGAGAGATATATATGGAGAATATATATCCATATATATATGGAAATGTATATGGATATATATTCTCCATATATATATCTCACTGTTTCCCTGTGGCAGGTAAGATCTTCTGTGTGTGTGTGTGTGTGTGTACTTACACACACACACATACTGGGAGTGTGTGGGCAATTGCACACACACACACACACACACACACACACACACACACAGATTTTCTACTTTTTTATATATATATTAGATTTCCTTTATATATATAAAAACATGGCAAGCTTTCTTGTGGTCACTAAGGGCACCCTATGCTTCCGTGCTGCCCTTTCCTCTCCTACCGGTTCTCACTGTCCTTCGTCCATTTCTCATTCACAGCAAAGCATGAGGCTTCTAGGCTACCCCATAGCACTGAACGCACCCTTGGGCTGGTTTCCAGTTTAATGGCGCAGGCTTGCACATTGCACGCACGCCACCCATTGCCCACACGCTCCCAGTACTCAGTTTGCCAACCTCGGAAGGATGGAAGGCTGAGTCAACCTTCAAGTGGCTACCTGAGGGATTGAACTCAGGTGGTGAGCAGAGTCTTGATTGCAGGGCTGCAGTTTAATCCCTGTGCCATGAGGCTTCCCACCACAGCTCCTAGAGGGGCTTACAGTAAAATGAGAACGGTGGTGGTGGTGGGAGCCTGACCAGAAAAATCCGAGTGGCCCAGCACCCCGTTCCCCTCTTTTTCATTTCCTTCCTTCCTTTTCCAGCCCTGCGCAGGAGTGGCCCAGATCCTTGAGAAGAGCAAGGCGGTTTCCAGCCCAGTAGCCTCGGACCCGGCTGGGCAGATCCTGGCCGCTGTTGCCCACCATGTGCTAAAAGGGGGTTGTGTCCGTGCTTTGCCCCCCGTGGACTATTTTGTGGAGTATGTGTTCCACCGCTACGGCAACGAGACCAAGAACCTCACCGTTGCGGGTAAGGTGGTAGCATCTCTCTTTCTCTCTCTCTCTCTCTCTCTCTCACACACACACACACACACACACACACGTGTCACAGGGTCCCCAAATGTTATCCAAGCCGGGGGGGACGGTGGGAAAGGAGAGCCATGTGGATCACATTGCATCCATTTGGAGGAGAGGCAGGATGTATCAAATGGGAATCCATCCTAGATTAAGCCTGGATGGAAAATTCTGGGGTTTTTTGTCCATCATCACCACCACCACCATCATCATAATCTAAAAGCATTGAGTGGTAATATATAACAGATGCAAGTTTTAACCAAAAACCTAAGAATACATATGGCACCAATATTTAACAAATACTTAAGGGTTGTGACACCCTAGATATTGAGCTGGATAAACACATTGGCAAAGCAGCCGACATGTTCTCTAGACTCACAAAGAGAGTATGGCTTAATAAGAAGCTGACGACATACACCAAGATCCAGGTCTATACAGCCTGCGTCCTGAGCACACTCCTGTACTGCACTGAATCCTGGACCCTTTGTGCACGGCAGGAGAGGAAGCTGAACACCTTCCATATGCGTTGCCTCTGTCGGATTTTTGGTATCACCTGGCAGGACAAAGTGGATGCCAGAGTTGGAAACAAAGAATTGGAAAAACTAACAAAGTACAGAGACCTGGCCATTGAAACATCTCACCTCTGGAAGAAACACACTTTGGTGGTCCCCGTCATTGTCGGGGCTTGGGAACAATATCAAGAAATTTCTCCCAGTACTATAAGCAGTTGCAGATTTCAGAAATCACACTGTCATTTTGCCAAGAAATGGCAAAATTAGGTATAGTGTACATCCTGCACCAATATTTAACAGATACTTAGGCTTTTGGTTAAAACTTGTATCTGTTATATAATACCAGCCACTGTTTTTATAATTTTGACTGTGCCTGGAGTTTTTTATTAATCATAAAAGGAACACTTCCCAGCTCTGCTCACCGGTAACATTTTAGGTAATACATCCTGCACCAATATTTAACAGATACTGCCTAAGTGGTCTTTATGGGGCACAATGGAGGGGGCCAACAGGAGCCTCCGCAGAGACCCTTGAAAGATATGACAGGGTGCCTCTCCCTTCTGTGTTTGCAATAGCCTTGACCAAGCTCATGGAGCAGCTGAAGATAGGCCCCAAGGAAGAACACCACGACCACGCGCATGACGACCACGTGCATGATGATCACGCGCATGACGACCACTCGCATGATGACCACTCACATGATGGCCATTCACATGGTCGCCCCGTGCATGGTCATGCACATGTAGTCCCTGCGCACAACAATTCGGACGGCCACCCGAGGGGCAACGTAACTGAGCCTTCCCTACTTCATGACGATCACCACCATGAGGAGGAAATTGAGCACCACCATGAAGGCACAATGGAAAGAATTCTGGCTCGGAAAAGACGAAGCATCACAGATGCGGACCACCATGGAGTCTGGGACACGGTGAGTAGCATGCTCTGTTTTGTGGCAGCCAACGACGCAGAGGTGCCCTCTTGGGTAGATGGATGGTACTCCCCATCATATATCCTGTCACTGGTACATTCCCCCTGGTGGGTGGAAGGACATCCCCTTCACCTCTCTGTTCCTTTAAGGCAGTGGTTCCCAACCTTGGGTCCTCAGAAGTTCTCAGACCAAATTTCCCAGAGGCCTTCACCACTAGCTGAGCTGGCCAGGATTTCTGGGCATTGTAGTTCAAGAACATCTGGGGACCCAAAATTGGGAACCATTGCCTTAAGGGATAGGGAAAGCCGAACCACATCTCTCAGAGCAGATCAGAAGGGACTACAGTAGTACCCCGTAACTGCAGGATCAGTATCCACCATTTTAGTTATCCACAGTCTAAAGATTTTAAAAGAAAAAATCCAGAAAAACTACTGTATTTTTCCATGTATAAGATGCCCCCATGTATAAGACGCCCCCCACTTTTCTAACCCAAAATGAAGAAATCTAAGTGGGCTTAGCAAGTGTAGGGGGAAAAGCATCAAAGCACTGCAGGATGGCTTTGATCCCTGCTTCCTCCCAAAAGGAGGGGGAAAGAGATCAAAGCAATCCCACGACTGCATGATTGTTTTGATCCCTTCCCCCTTATACAGTCATGGGATTGCTTTGATCCTTTTCCCCTACACTTGCTAAGCCCCATGGGATTTAGAAAGCAGAGGGGAAAGCAAGGATTAAAGCCATCCTGCAGGGCTTTGATCCCTGCTTTCCTTTTGCTAAAGCTTATCAAGTGGAGGGGAAAACAGGGATCAAAGCCCTGCAGGATCAGATTGATCCCTGCTTTCCCCTCCACTTGTTTTTTTCTTTCCTCAGCTTACTTCAGAGTATAAGACAACCCTCAATTTTTAGTGTAAAGATTTTAGATAAAAGTATAGTCTTTATAATGTATTCGCAAAGGCTTTCACGGCCGGGATCTACTTGTTGTTGTGGGTTTTTCAGGCTCTTTGGCTGTGTTCTGAAGGCTGTTCTTCCTAACGTTAGGAAGAACAACCTTCAGAACACTGCAAAAGAGCCCGAAAATCCCACAACAACCTATAGTCTTATACATGGAAAAATACGGTAAATTCACATTACCAGAACCAGCCACTGGAGGGAGCTAGAGAACATGTTATGAATACTTGTTAGTGAAGAATATATATAGCATGGCCCTCTGGTGGCCAGTTCTGGTAATGCTTGAGATCTGGTGGCCAGTTCTGGTAATGCATGTGGGGAAAAAAAGCCTAGCCACATTCCCTTATTTAGGCTGGGAAAAGTCATGTTGCCACAAAGGGGTCGGTTGAGACGTTGGCAGCCGCTGCCTCCTTCCACTCAATGGGCAGCTCATGTGTTTTTGCCCCTCTCTCTCCCCCCGCCTGGCCCCCACTGCACTTTCGTTTCAGGTTTGTCTTAGCTCAGATGATGTCTTTGAGGTTTACGGCCTTGACACTGGGGTAGGGATCTCCCCTCCGGACTTCACGCGCTTGAGCCCAGCTCTGATCCAGCAACAGCTCAGCCAGGCCTGCTCGGTCTCCCGCAGCTCCCATGTCGACGGGCGGCTCACCACCGCCGAGAGTGAGTCTGACTTTCCTGACGGACCTTTCATGCCTCTCTGGATGTAGGAGGGCCATGGATTCTTGTAACTTGTTCCAGATTTAACATCTGAGTTTGAGATGGCCTAGATCAGAGCCTGCCCCTCCTCTCTAGGACAGCCTTTCAAGTTTTTTTCAAAAAGTGCTCTCCTGTCTC